CCTCCTCCTCCTCCTCCTCCTCCTCCTCCTCCTCCTCCTCCATCATCCCACACACCCCACTCCTTTCTAGCATTGTCTGATATGTTTCTGCCAGAAACCTGCTAAACTCAGAGAGCACCAAAGGACCCCACAGCTCAACCCTGAGCTGCAAACATTCTCTTCCCCGAAGGATTGGCTTTCGTGGGGACAGACACAGCGTTGACTTAAACCCCTTACAATGGCCGAGGAAACTCTCAAAGCCACGCGAGATCAGCCCCCCTTCCAGATCTACATAGTACGAGGGGCGATCATTCATGTAAATTTAGCCTGCTCGTGATCATGAAGCGCTGGGACTCCCCGGGACCCCAACTCCATCATTTGTGTTAAAAAGAGGGGAGGGCTTTCATTTGCTCAAGCTCCCTCTTTGCTCCCAGACTGTTGTACTGGGTCTCTTTGGTGCTCCAGTACAGCTAGTTCTCGACTTAACGCCACAATTGACTCCACAATTTCTGCTGCTAAGCGAGGCATTTGTTAAAATGACCCCCCCCGCCCCCATTGTACAACCTTCCTCGAACCGTTATTAAGTAAATCACTGCCGCTGTTCAGTGAGCAACACGTTCGTTAAGTGAATCGGGCATCCTCCTTTGACTGTGCTTGTCGGAAGGGGTTCGTGTGAACACTGCCGCCATCCTAAATACGAGTCGGTCGCCGAGAGGACGAATTTGAATCCCGCGACCATGGGGACGATGATGCGGGGACGGTCACAAGAGTGAAAAACAGGGCTGAGTCGCCTTTCCCAGCGCTGCCGTGACTTTGAACCGTCGCTTGAACGAACTGTTGTAAGTCGAGGACTACATGAACAGCCCCCCAATTCTCCATGGAAAGTAGAATCAGTTGCAGAGGTGTGCTTGGAAGTGGGGTGATGTGCCCCTGAGCATCCCAGGGTGATCAGGCCGATTGCAATAAGTCTCCAAATATTTGTTTTGATCGCTTGTCTAACTTGTTTTGCGATTCTTTTACCAACATGGGCCTTCAAATAAATAGCAGCTTTTTATAATCAATTGTCTTCTGCCTTCTGATGGGGTGGGGGTGGGGGGGGAAACACATCTAGCCTTATCTTATAGCCTTCAGGAGGGGTGGGCTTCAAATTTTTTTTACTGCCAGTTCTGTGGGCGTGGCTTGGTGGGTGTGGCAGGGGAAGGATATTGTAAGATCTCCAGCCAGAGGTGGGATTTGCCGGTTCTCCGAACTACTCAAAATTTCTGCTACCGGTTCTCCAGAACTGGTCAGAACCTGCTGAATACCCACCTCTGGTTCTGACCCAATTTGTTGCAGGGACTGGATTTTATTTATTCCATTTATAGAGCCGCCCAGTTTATAGCCACCTCTAGGGTTATTAGGAACCCGTTCATTTTTGGCACAAATTAAGAATGGGAAATCCTCAACGGATGGGAGGTTCATCTCAGGCTGTAAGGAATCAGTGGTGGGATTCAGATTTTTGGACTACAGGTTCTGTGGGTGTGTCTTGGTGGGCGTGGCAGGGGAAGGATATACTGCCAAATCCCCCTTCCCTCCCCACCCCCCTAACCTGCTTTCCAGCTCCGTTCTCCTGGGTAGGCCAGCCAAAGAAGACCCAGCCGATCAGCTGGGGACTCCATGGGAGACGGAGAAGAGATCGGGTTGGCGGGGCCAGTCAGAGGTGCCGGTTCTCCGAACTACTCAACATTTCTGCCACTGGTTCTCCAGAAACCGGTCCGAACCGGCTGAATACCCACCTCTGTCTAAGATAATTCCCAGTCTTCCAGGTCAGGACTCTCCAACTTTGGCAACTTTAAGCCTGGTGGACTTCAACTCCCAGAATTCCCCAGCCAGCTGTATGCTGGTTGTAAGCTGTAAACTGGTGTTAATTGTAAGCTGTAAGATGGTTGTAAGCTGTAAGCTGTAAACTGGCTGGGGAATTCTGGGAGTTGAAGTCTGCCAGGCTTAAAGTTGACAAGGTTGCTCCAGGTCATGATTGTCTCAAAGATGCTTTTTCCAAGAGGTAACTGGACTTTCTGGTTTTTTTGTTTTTTTTTGAGACGTTTCGCTTCTCATCCAAGAAGATTCTTCAGTGTTTGTGTGTGTGTATATAATACATATTATCTACCCATAAAAAAGTATACGGAAGGTCTCAGTCATCCAGGTCAAGTTTCTTCCAAAAGTGCTTTTTCAAGAAGCAGCTGGACTTTCTGGTTTTTCTTTGAAGACATTTTGCTTCTCCTCCAAGAAGCTTCTTCAGCTCTGATATTCCTCACCATCCAGTGAGAGCTGAAGAAGATAGATATAAAGAGGAATTTCCTGATAGCTAGAACAATTAAACCAGTGGAAATGGGTTCCCTTCAGAAGTCGTGGCTGCTCTGTCACTGGAGGTTTTGAAGAAGAAGAAGAGAATGGGAATCCATTCATCTGAAATAGCAAAGGGTCTCCTGCTTGGGTGGAGGGTTGGACTAGATGACCTACAAGGTCCCTTCCAAATCTGTTAATCTGTTTAATTTTTAATTTGAATCGGTTGGAGAGCTCCCAGGTTGTGAGCCCGAGGGCTACATCTGCTTCCTCCGGCCCCCTTGAATCTCACTTTCTCAGAAGTGTGAAAACAAGCGTTAGAAAAAGTAACAGTCACCCTTCTTATTTTATTTTATTTTTTCTTCCCTTCCTTTCCTTTCTTCCGCTTGCAAACGCCGAGGTTTGCAATTGCTCAATCTGCAAAATTCAGTCCGTTTCCCAAAAAAGGTTTTTTCTTCCTGTCTCGGTGCTGTTGAAATCCAGGACAATCTATCCGGCGTTGCTCTTGAGCGGCTGCAAAAACCGCCAGGGAAATCTTTCTTACTTTATCCCCGCCAGAAGCACCGACAGATTCAAATAAAATAGGTGAAATTAGATTATAAAAATATAGCATGTGAAATTTTGGACACAACATTGAACTGGTTAAATGGGAGAATCTCTGGACAAATAATAGGAAGTTAACAATGGCTCCGGCCTTTACAAGAAGTTTTACAGGTGGTACCTGCCCTCAGTAAGGCTTGCCAAAAAGCATAAAAATTTATCCCCAGAATGCTGGAAGTGTAAGGACTTATCAGGTAGCATTCTACCACAGGTGGTGGATGTATAAATTTGCAAAATATATATATATACTGGAGATAGATACAGACTTGGGTGGAACAAATGGTGAGAGATCATATTCCATTTAATCCAGAATTGTTTCTCTTGGGACTAATGATAGAAGGGTATAGGCAAGAGATAGCATATTTAATTATACCTGTTTTGACAGTGGTGAGAATGATATACACACAATATTGGAAAAAATGAAACCATACCACCAGAAAGAAAAATAATAAAGAAAATAATGGCTTGGGTAGAATGGGATAGATAAACCTTAGAATTGCAAAAGAAGGGGGAATCAGCTTACCGTGAAACATGGAATAAGTTTTATCAGTGGCTACAAAAAAGAAGGGAAGGTCAGGGGAAAAAAAATAGGCAGAATGAACAGAACCAAAAAGCAAATACTGTATCAATAATACTAAAGTCAATGGTTTAGCAATATCTTTGTATGTATGGTATATGTAATGCCAAAACAGCAGCACCGTTGTATATTTACAATTGTAAACAATATATACCCCCATTTAAATCATGCGTCTCCTTACAACAAAGTAGAATTAGTCCATCCGGCCTCACTTCTGGTCTGGATTATCCTGCAAGACCGATATCAAGATTAACAGAACCTCGCATGTCTGAAAGGACATTTTGGTTGCACTGGTTAACCTGATGACTAGCATAGCTCCCCCAACAGCAAACATCCTTCAGGTTCAAACATCCATTTATTTCTCCCAGGGAAGCCCAAAGCAACAAGTCTAGGACAGTTCACCACAGCCAATGCACCACGGTTAACTTGCCACAGTCCACCTGCCACGGCCAACTCATTGCGGGACAAGAGTTACACTAATATCAAAGAAATGGTGAAAGAGAATCATTAAAGAAAGGATGCAAAAGAATGAAAGGGGAATGGCAAAAATGAAAATATTTTTTATGCATTTTAAGTAATGAAATAGAATTGTTGAAGTGTCCCATGGCATGTTGTCCCATTCCTCAAAGCAAGCCCCCCGGTGTTGGGGTATTCTGGGAAAACGATGGTAGCTGAGAAGGACCAAACAAGTAAAAATTGAAGGAAAGAAGGAAATAGGGACTTATTAACTGAAAAGGCTTTGGAGGTATAACTCTCCGGAGTGAAGCAGCTTCTGAAAGAAGCGTCTGCCTAGTTGTTGTGGTTATTTTGGTTGCAGTTTATGAAGCCAATATACCAGCCGGAGAATAGAAAATACTTGATGAGGGCAACCTCTACCTTGCCATCCACATCTACAAGCTGCTTCAGGTTAAACTAGATCAAGGCTTGGTTTCTCAAGGGGCATAGTTCTCATTTGTTAATCATTATTCCCCTAACAGCTAGAGGAAATCCGTTTTCGAGGCCATAAATACCCTGATTATCTACTCTGCGGAGAGAAGGCATGCGGAGACCGAAATACAGGTAAAAAAGAGCAAAGGACGGTCATCTGTAGGCGGGGAAAAACTCCAGATCCCAGTCAGCGTAATGTAGTTTCTCATGAGACCTGTTCAGAATAGCTCTCCCTTTGCAAATGACTTCAGTTACAAATATTTAGTCACCAGAATCTGGCACGGTATGATTCAGGCTGAACATTAAATGAGTTTTATTTCCTTTGAAATAATTTCAGC